ATGTGTGCTGTGCTCAGATGAGTCCACATTTCAACTTGTTTCTGGGAAAAATGGATTTAGAGTTCTCAGTCCCAAAGACCAAAGGGGCCATCCAGACTTTCATTAGTGACAGAAGCGAAAGCAAACGTCTGTCATGGTTTGGGGGTGCAGCAGAGCAAACAGCATGGGTGACTGGCTTATGTGCGAAGGTACTATTGACATGGAGGCATATATTGGGATTTTACAGAGATATACTGCCATCAAGATGATGTCTTTCATGGGAAGTCCATGGTTATTAGATCAAGACAATGCCAGCTCTCATTCTGCATGTGCTACAACAGCGTGGTTTCATAGAGACAGAGTGAATGTGTTAGACTGATCTGTCTCCAACTGAAAATGTGTGACCAGTCATGAAAAGGAGAATCAGACAACGAATTCTGAAGTCTTGTATCAAGCGAGACTGGACAAAAATTTTGCTTGCAAAACTTTAACAATTAGTATCCTCAATTCACAAACAATGAAACATTGTAATTAAAAGGAAGGTTGATGTGACACAGTGTCAAACGTGCCTCTTTCCCAACTTTTTTGGAATGCGTTGCAGCCATCAAAATCAAAATTTGTTCATATTTTCAAAATACATTTACATCGGTCAGTGAAAACTTTGGAAATCTTTTCTTTGTACTTTTGTCAAATAAATAAAAGTTAAAAAGAATGAACAAATCACAGATTCTTGATTTTATTGCATTTTACAAAATGTCCCAACTTCTCTGGAATTAGGGTTGTAACAAAGGCAGAGGTGATGCTGCTGGAATCTGTGCCACTGTATTGTGCTATTATTTTAACAGTGAATGATGGACTGGATTGGTAACCCACCAAAAGCATAACGGCTACATTTTTGTATGCTTTGTAGTTAATGAATTTTTTTAAGCCAAACAATAATATACATATAAAATAGATGCTGCAGTGCAACGTTTTTACTGATTTAAATTGTGAGTTTATAGTTTGTTTATAGTAGTACCTTGTTCTGTGCATAGGCCATGGTGCCGTCAAAAGAGCCTTTCTCAAACTGAAGGTCCTCTACATTTAACTTCTGAACCAGCATCCCACCAGATGACACAGTGATCTGTAATAAAAAATAAAATAATTCATAAAAATAATTATAAAATAAAATAAACAATCAAAATAAACTAACATACAAAATAATAATAATAAATACAAATAATTTCCTTAATTTCTCTGAAACATTCATTACTAATAAAAAAATTAATAATAATAATAATAATACAGTTTTAATGAAGTTGTTTTAACATTCATAAACTTCATAAACATGTCACTTAAGTCATTCATTTCTGGTAGCATTGTGAGGGTAAATGTGTTTGGAAACAGTTATTAACCATGCATTAGGATGCATTTCTTCACTCACCACTCTGGGATTCTCTGACTTCTTCAGTGTGGGAATCAGAGCTGTTGTCAGTACATACGTCCCTGTAAAACACACAAGATGAGTGAGACGACTAGTCACTCTTATCTCTTCTTATCCCTTGATTTCAAGATGTGGCACTAAAAACATTCTCTACCACAGGGGTGGCCTGTGACCTTTGTAACTCAATAGTATAAAACAGGCAAAACTCAAATACTGCAGTAAAAGCTCATACTTTGTTGTCCATATTGGAAAAAACATATGATCAGAAAAAAACATGAATTAACTTTCCTACCTAGTGTGTTTGTCGCAAAGTTTTTCTCCAGGCCATCCTCTGTCAGTTCTCTCTGACTGACCATGCAACCAGCATTATTGATCTACAGTAATAAATCACATGAAGATAAAAGACAAAGGGCTGAACAATAGAAGCATGACAATGTATGTCACAGTCAAAGCAGTTGTAAAATGACCATAAACAGACATGAATGTACATGCTATATTACTTGGGGGAAGATGAAATATCAGATTCTTTTTAAATTATTAAGAATAATTTAAAATGATGAGGAATTAATTAGTTACTCTATACAATTGACTGAACAAATTTATCACAGTGCAGTTACCCGCACGTTATAACAGCAATATCCATGTGCATTACTGTGATTTTACTTTGTGCACAGCCTCTCGTGGCTTATTGTTTCAGCTTATTATTATTGATATTGTATATTTTTATATTATTCTTTTTATTATCTGTGTCCTGTCTTGTCACTGTCATTCTGTTGCACCGTGGAGCTTCTGTCACTAAAACAAATTCCTCGTATGTGTAAACATACCTAGCAATAAAGCTCATTCTGATATGTTGATATGACTTAAACTTGGAATACATTTACCAGAACATTTAGATTATGTTTCTGAGAGAATCCACTAGCAAACTCCCACACTTTCCTGGGGCTGGACATGTCAACTAGGTGAACATGGACATTCTGAAAGCAAATGAGAGACAAACTCAGACGAGAGTTCACTGTTTCTGTCCTAGAAGCATGTGAAATAATTTTCATAGTATATAAATGTACTTCTGAAAATATACCTCATTTTTACATCTCTCCACAATGTCTTTCCTTGCCTCATTTGCACGATCTTCATTTCTGCACACCAGATGTACTGTCCCACCTGAAGATAAACTGAATGAACTTTGAATGGCTTTTTTAACAGCACTGCACATCTTTTGCCAGTAGGAGTCACTGTTACGTCCCTTTTGTTAGTTAAACCTAAATGTCATAACAGGGTTTTGACGGAATGTACAAGATCTTCCAAGTTGAGCAGTTATTGAAGGACAAACTATAACCAGAAGTCTCTGTTCTGAATTAACAAAGCCATGTTTTCTCACCTCTTTTGGCGATTTCGCAGGCGGCGGCTTTACCGATGCCGCTGTTCGCTCCGGTGATGATGAACGAGCGGCCGCTCAGATTCACCTCCAGATCCGCCTCGCTGAAGCTCCTCGCCGCTGCCTCATAACCGCCCCTGATGAGGGTTAATGAGATTTTAACTGGTGCACTGCTGAAATGAAAATACACTGATGATGACTTACTTCGTATATTCCTGTAGACCCTTCAGGAACCAAACTGTGTTTCGGTAGAGAGACATCTTTAGGATTTCACTCGTTCTCACTCAAGAGCGGTGTCATAACATACGAGCACGTTGGAAATCAGAGCTAACGTTACGCCCCTGTGGCGTTTAATAACAGATCACATGTTAAATGTGTTGTAAGCGCGGGTTACAACACGCATGCGCGCTTCATAAAACGATAAACGTTCTTTTCTCAGTGAAAGCCTTAATTATGTGCACTTATTTGAAATAGTTTCTAAAACATAAATGAAAAACAGAAATATTTAGAGAACATGGACATTCTGAAAGCAAATGAGAGACAAACTCAGACGAGAGTTCACTGTTTCTGTCCTAGAAGCATGTGAAATAATTTTCATAGTATATAAATGTACTTCTGAAAATATACCTCATTTTTACATCTCTCCACAATGTCTTTCCTTGCCTCATTTGCACGATCTTCATTTCTGCACACCAGATGTACTGTCCCACCTGAAGATAAACTGTTTGAATGAACTTTGAATGGCTTTTTTAACAGCACTGCACATCTTTTGCCAGTAGGAGTCACTGTTACGTCCCTTTTGTTGGTTAAACCTAAATGTCATAACAGGGTTTTGATGGAATGTACAAGATCTTCCAAGTTGAGCAGTTATTGAAGGACAAACTATAACCAGAAGTCTCTGTTCTGAATTAACAAAGCCATGTTTTCTCACCTCTTTTGGCGATTTCGCAGGCGGCGGCTTTACCGATGCCGCTGTTCGCTCCGGTGATGATGAACGAGCGGCCGCTCAGATTCACCTCCAGATCCGCCTCGCTGAAGCTCCTCGCCGCTGCCTCATAACCGCCCCTGATGAGGGTTAATGAGATTTTAACTGGTGCACTGCTGAAATGAAAATACACTGATGATGACTTACTTCGTATATTCCTGTAGACCCTTCAGGAACCAAACTGTGTTTCGGTAGAGAGACATCTTTAGGATTTCACTCGTTCTCACTCAAGAGCGGTGTCATAACATACGAGCACGTTGGAAATCAGAGCTAACGTTACGCCCCTGTGGCGTTTAATAACAGATCACATGTTAAATGTGTTGTAAGCGCGGGTTACAACACGCATGCGCGCTTCATAAAACGATAAACGTTCTTTTCTCAGTGAAAGCCTTAATTATGTGCACTTATTTGAAATAGTTTCTAAAACATAAATGAAAAACAGAAATATTTAGATTTGAATTCCATCATATACTGGCGTCGTATTTTATTTAGGAAAGTCAAATGTACCAGGTATTTTTCAAAATACAGGCGCGCAAGTTTTTGTCGTGTATGACCTGTTTTTATACAGTCTATGTGTACAACATTTAAGAAACAAGATCAACCGGTTTCATTAATATGGATAGCGGTAAATGTTCAAAACTTTCGCGCATGCGCGCTTCATAAAACGATAAACGTTCTTTTCTCAGTGAAAGCCTTAATTATGTGCACTTATTTGAAATAGTTTCTAAAACATAAATGAAAAACAGAAATATTTAGATTTGAATTCCATCATATACTGGCGTCGTATTTTATTTAGGAAAGTCAAATGTACCAGGTATTTTTCAAAATTTGAACAGGCGCGCAAGTTTTTGTCGTGTATGACCTGTTTTTATACAGTCTATGTGTACAACATTTAAGAAACAAGATCAACCGTTTTCATTAATATGGATAGCGGTAAATGTTCAAAATTTTCCAAGTTGTCAGGATGGCCGAGTGGTCTAAGGCGCCAGACTCAAGGTTCAAACCTTCCCAGTAATACATGGGTCTTCTGGTCTCCGACTGGAGGCGTGGGTTCGAATCCCACTTCTGACAAGATATTTTTGAAGTTGATTAAAACTGGGTTTCCATTTCTTCGTAAAATATATTTGATTGTGGTTTAAACTGTAAAATGTACCCAGGACAGGCAAGGTAAGGTTAAAAAAATCAGTATAAAAATAATGTTTTATAATTTAGTGAATCAGAATTTAGGTAGGCCTAATTCAGAAACAACAGTAATTTCTCTCTCATTGCACTGCCATTGTGTCAAATTCCACTTTATGTTTTCCAATAAAAATAATTTCTTCCTGTTTTAAGTGTTTTTATTATGCTCTTTCATGTGATACAATAAGTGGTCTTTCTCCTCACCAATTCTTTCATCAGTTTTCAGAGACAAGCAGTCATGTTTGTGAATGTCTTCTAATTTAAATAAGTAATAAAAGAGTAATAAGTAATTTATACTAATAGCCTACAACTCCACTACCAAGACAGGTCAAGTTATTATCCGTAAGTTTATCACCATGTACATAAAGTAGCTGATAAAATGATGCTCTGGACTGCAATGACTTTGAAACCCCTTGAGATGGCGCAAGATCAAACAATGGCAATTAAATTTGAACTGCATATAAATATCTTGAAAAATTAAAGTGTTTAATAATAATAATAATAATAATAATAATGCATATATGTTAAAACATTCAGCAGGTCACGATCATAGGCTAAATATCATGGCTTTAATTTCCACTATTAGCATTTTTTTTTGTTAGGTGTTAGGTGTGAGAAAAAATAAATAAAATACTTTGCTATAAATACAAAAATTCGGATTGTGTACATATCAACATATTTTACGTAGGCCGTGCTGTATCATGAATAATCACTGCTAACGCCCTTTAGCCGTGATTTATTCACGATACGGCACGGCCTCTTCGAGGCCTACCTTGCTTTCATAAAACGGTTTCCACACAATACAAAATATTGAAATGTTACTTTTTTGAAGCAAGTTCATCTTCTGGGTTTAAAATCTACATTGTGTTGACGTCACAATTTCTGTCATGAAAACAAATTCCTCGTATGTGAAAACATACCTGGCAATAAAGCTCATTCTGATTCTGATTCTGTACATCGATGACACGTCGGTGTCTATTAAATTGTTCATAAATTCTTATCCTATGAGAAGACGCTTCCCTTAATTATTCACAACAGCATGTGTTGATTTGCTATGACAGACGTTTCAGACAGTGAGATGACATCATGCACATTAACTGAGAGAAACGTTCATGGATCGAAGAACAGTGTTTGTTTTTGCTTTGTAATAAGAGTTCGGCACAGACGCGATTCATTCACTTAGTGAGTGTAACCGTTTTTACAGCTCTGTGACACAACCCGTCAAAAGGCTTTTGTAAACGCCACAGAATAAGCCTTAAAAGTTCTCAGAGGTGCAACAGCATATGTTTTCGATGCAAAGTGCAAATGGTTGTGCATTTATTTGTGTTTTTAACTCGATGGGAGCGAAATGAAACTGTATGAACGCGAAGCTGTGTGTGTTGTCTGTCTCCCCTCTTCCCCCCCCCTTTTTTTTAGCGTTTTTTAAAGGGGTGCGATTATGCTTTTTCACTTTTTCAACTTTAGTTAGTCTGTAATGTTGCTGTTTGAGCATAAAAAATATCTAAAAATTTACAAAGCTCAAAGTCCAGTTCAAAAGAAGATATTTTATTAAACAGAAATAACTTTTCAAAAACGACAACGAACGACTCGTTTGGACTACAACGCATAGGCGCGGGAAGTGGGGGTGCTGAGGGTGCTGCAGCACCCCCTGTTTTATTCTGTGGGCAACTGTTAAAAAAAATTCGGAGTGTCTATGATTGGGATAGTCAACATTACAAACGACAACCAACAATCGTCTGATTCAGTGGCGTAGATATTAAAGCGTGTACCATAGATTACTCATTTTGACGCGATCGACGCGGGTTCGAATCTGCCTTTTAGCAAACATTTTTTCTCCCTTTTCAAATTTCAAATCATATCAGAAAAGCATTTATTTTTAATAAAAATGAAGGAAATAATCAAAAAGTTGAAAATAAAGTATCTGGTAGTGTTAGGGTAGGTGTAGGGAGGGCTTTTGTCCCAATAAGGTGGAATCCATTTAATAATTTGAATTATAATTCAAATTTAAGTTATTATTGCATACTGTTTTATAATGTATTGCAATGCTGAGGTGCAGATAATTACCACTATTTGCAATAAGTAATTAGCAGAATATCCTGCTATTTTAACATAGTATAAATAGAATAGCTATTTGCACTTAGTGTAAATAGCATATGATATCACTAAAAAAATACTTGTATTTTCACTTAGTGTAAATAGCTATCGCTAAGAAAATATGCTATTTTCACTTAGTGTAAATAGCATCTAATTGCTATTTGCACTAAGTGTATATAGCCTCTATCACCCCACGCGTACAGCACCCCCAACCTAAAACATCTTCCTGCGCCCCTGCTACAACGCATATTTTCCGGGATTTGGGATATCACAAATATCGACGAATGGGACGAGACCTGGTTGAGCTGCACTAGAGAAGGCAATGAGTGTTATCACTATGTGGGAGTCACTAGCTTTCCCAAGGCAGACGATCTGAGAGTGGTTACAATCATCCGGGTTTAAAGGGGTCATATGATGCGATTTCAAGTTTTCCTTTCTCTTTGGAGTGTTACAAGCTCTTGGTGCATAAAGAAGATCTGTAAAGTTGCAAAGACTAAAGTCTCAAATCCAAAGAGATATTCTTTATAAAAGTTAAGAGTCAGCCACGCCTACCTAAAACGCCTCGTTCTAACACGCCCCCACATGTCTATGTCACTTGCGTACCGTCACAAACCTGTGAGGCAGCAGAGACACTGCTGCAGAACAAAAACAGATAAGTGGCATTATATTATTATTATTAAAACTTTATTTGAAAAGGGACCATGTACAATTTTAACATAAATGTTTCCATTTCATGCATTGTACCGAATTTAGCCAATGGCTAGTTTTCATCCGCGGTCCCTTGGCAGGTAATCATAATCACAGATAAACATAAGAACAAAATAACAAACACATACAATACAGTAATACTTATACACATCCCATCAGAGCCAAAAAAAAAAACTATACCAATAACGTTGATCTCATATCGCATAATCTTATTAACTGTTTATCTCCTGAACTGCATCTTTCTTTACCACGCTATTCAGCGCCAATCCCGCCGTGCAGTCAATTTCGCTGGTTAAAGTTAGGGTCAGGTGTGGGGTAGGTTTAAGGGTTAGCATTTTTTGTAGGATAGTGTAGGAAATCAACACTTTAATTGACACAACCAATAAAATCTTTAGAATCAGCTGTGGGGTGTAGTTTGCACTGAAGTGGATTGGGGGAAAAAATTGCGCATGCATGTCATGTGCCTGTCTGTCAATGGGAGGAAGCCACGCCCTATTTTGGAGCTCCACCCCGTTTTGGAGTTCCCGCCCCTATTTGGAGATCTCCAGGCTGCAGTTATACCCTTCTCAAATGACTGGCCAATTGTCGCGAAGTATACAAATCACATGCAAATACTGACGCGCTCTAGAGGCAGTATAAAATGCGGTGCACGCGACAACCACTCTCAGGGAACCGAGGTTACCATAGTAACCGGAGACGTTCCCTCTCGAGTTTTCACGAGACATCACGGAGACATTTCTCCATTATGGGAACTATATTCAATCCCGCCGTGAGAGAGGCTACGAGCAGCCTGTACAAGTCACATACTCAGCGAAGATAGAACACACAATTCCCACAACCAATAGCGACGCTTGTTAGGCGGGCTCGCAACTGATAGGTGGAGACAAGCCAATGAGCGTCTAAAGCCCAGGTATACGAAATTTGCATATCTGGTCAGTGATCACGTATGCTGCGCTGAGAAACAGGGCAGAAGCAACAACGATCACAGTATTGTGAGGGGGGGCTGCACAGAGATAACGGTGTTAGGCAGCAGTATAACACATAAGATGATGATGGTACACCAATCGAATTAGACA